GAAAGTGAGTACTTTTGCCATCTCTGGTGACCATATATTAAATACAACAGCCCTGATCTATTATTAACCAGCCATGTGCTTCCAACCTTATCTCAGAGAAACATACAGGTTAGTAGTCAAAATTGAAGCACAAATTATGTTTTTTTATTCACATGTTAAGTTTTGTCAGCTGATGAGCTTGAAAGGAATCCAGATATTAATAAAGGGGACCTATAATGCTGGATTTTCACATTTAGAATAGGCCTATGGGTCATACCAACATGTTCCTTAAATTATTTGCACAAGACTATTCTAAATTAATTAGACCTGACCTCCTCCATTTTTATTCTTAAAAAAGCACAAAAGGCTTGATTACTAGACACTAGGGCTGAAGGAATTAATCAAATTAATCATGATTTATCAATTATTGAAATAATTTAGCAATTGATTAATCGCAGTGGTGGACAAAGTACCCAACAGTAGTACTTGAGTAAAAGTATTGATACTCATAGTCAGATCTTACTCAACTATGAGTAAAAGTTAATAGGTCAATAATCTACTCTAGTTAGAGTATTGAAGTGCTCACTAATGAAAAAACTTAAAGATATAGTGGAAGATTTTCATGAATCTTTGAAAACATCCACCCTCCTATTTAAAAAAAAAAAGCACATTCACAACCCTGTACCCGCTCCCAAGAGGGATCATCTATTAAACGCGTGTGGGAGAGTGCACTAGCCCATTTCTCCTCGTGCACATGCTATTTAAAAGTAGTTGTTTGCATCGCTCATACAAGCTTATTTTCCAAAAGGCACGTAGGACGACCTTACGTAAACATATCAGCAGAATGATTGACAATTAAGAGGATTTATTTTGATGAGCAAAAGCAAAAGGATAATTCACTATTGTATTTGAAATATTTGACACTGAAATGTAGTGCAGTAAAAGTGATAAGAACCCCCCCAAAAAATGACTTAAGTAAACTAAAGGAACTCAAAAAAGGTACTTAAGTACAGCAATCAAGTAAGTGGGCTTTGTTACTCTCCAACATTATGATTAATCGTAAAATGGAGTACAGAGAACATGACTTTAGCTGACAGGGCGACCCGCTTAGAGCAATTATTATACAAAAATTTTACAAATAATATATAAATATTTTGCATTTGAGATTTACAAAAAAAGTTTCTGTCTGTCAATATCCTTAATCAAGAACTCCTTGAGTATTTATGAAGAATAAGAAAAAAAACTCACATCTCCGGAGACCCAGTCCTCCAGCTTTTCTCCCTCATGCCGAAGCTTCCGAGGCTCTCTCTTTTCGTCACCTTGTCCTCCCGTGGGCTTCTGTGTTCCCGACGGGAAACAGAGGTTGTAGCTTTCTGCTCCAGCTGGGAAAGATGCTCCATGCTGCTGTACACCTGCAGGAAGACAAGTAGCTCATTAGACCTTTGCTCGGGTGTGTTGAGTTAAAAATGTCACAGCCGAGTTCTAACAAAGATTAAATAATTTTTGTGCGGTAATTATATCCACTCTCAGGACAAATAATTGTTACAGAAAAATGCTCTTACACCTTAAATGGAACTGTCAGCACTTGTGAGAAATAGGTTTTAAAAAGAAAGAATATTTACTTTTCACTTGTAATGTTTCTAAAACCATTTGTAATGTAACTAAAAAAGATATGCATACATCTAAAAACTATATGTATGTATATATATATATATTAACCTTTGACCTTTAAATGAAGGAATACCGGTGCCTGTCAGGATTCCTGTCTGTGTGTGTTTTTTCTGTGTTTGTCTCCCTTCCTCCACCAGGAGGCGCCTGGTTCTGGTCCGCCTCTCCACACACATGCTGTGAGTTACCTCATTAGCGGAGCGCTCTTAAACTGCTGACTGCCACTACCTCGACGTCAGAGTGTTTTCCAGTTTTGGGTACTCTAGCCAAGCTGAGTTTTGCTGAGTCTAACTGAGTTCTTGTCAACCTGAGTTTTAATCTTGTTTTTGTCTTTGCCTCTTGGCAGGAAGTCATCCTGCAAACTGGATGTTTCGGACCTTCTCTCCCTGGAAGGATCATCTATGCTTGATCCTAAATGAAACTGGAGGTTTGAATCCACTTTCCCCCAAGAGATCATTTGAGCTTCACACTGAGTAAGGGATTCATCTCTACTACGACCTGTTCAAGTACCGCAGGAAATCTCACTGGCAGTCAGCTTCTCCGTTCGCCTTCTAACACATTCTACCACATTCTGGGTAAACCCTGTCCGCCCTCCACCAAATCAGACAAACACTGAAACTTCTGCACACAGACTGGAGTCTAAGAGTAAGCAACTTCTCTGGAAATGTGAGTTATCTACCAAATTCTCCTCTTCAAGTTCGAGAATCAAAATTCCTACTGAGCCTGAACTAACCGCAGTGTCTTCCCCTCACCTTTCAGTTCCGGTTGAGCAGTGTTCAGAGCAACACTGGATTCTTCACAAACTCCTAAATAAACCTGTTAAACCTTTCCCCTGGTCTCTCTGAATTGGTCTCTCTGCATGTGGGTCTGAGCTCTCGATAAAATCATGACAGTGCCAAAGTAATGAGGGATTTGTAGGAGCCTCTAACTGCAGAGGCTGATAAGGAGGATGCTATGGTTTTACATGTTCTTCATTTTGTGAAGCATTATGTTTTTGTTATAATGTCTCCTCAGGATTCAGAGGAGCCCCCAGAACAGACCCCAGGTCCTTTATCAGCTCTTTCATGGCTCTGACGCTGCTACCTCAACAGATGATGGCAGAAGGGATCCCTTTCTCCACAACAGAATCATTGCGTCCTCTGTTCCATCGCAAATAGCAGTCTTTTTTGTCAGTGGTGGACAGTAACGGAGTAAATTTACCTGATTAGAGTACTTAAGTACTTTTTTTGAGTATCTTTACTTAAGTATATTTTGCGGTGAGTACTTATAACTTTCACTTCACTATATTTCAAAGTCAAATATTGCGCTTTCTACTCCACTACATTTCTATGAAGCTAGTTGTTCCTTTTGGCTCAGCTTAGGTCTGTAAGCCGCTGATGTTTTTCTTTCCTGAAAGTTCAAAGATCATCCATTAGAAGAGGATGTATAAGTTATCTCTCGTTTTCAACACACCTGTGTCAAATGGTAGGTCATTAGGAGGCATGTGCAGAACTTTGGCATGTAGAGCAGGTACTAACTACCTCCACGGAGAATAAAGAAAAACAAGCAAGATAGCAGCCCTTGAGGACTGATTTTAGATACCACTGTTTTAGAGATTTGCATGACGTTGCAAAAATGTGAAAAAGATATTATCTGCTGTTTACAATTTTAGGTGTGGGTTGTTGCCATGTGACCAAGCTGTTCAGTAAGATGTGTTCTCAAAGCAGAGTTGAGGTTCCTTTTTGGTAGTAGAATTAACCTTAAACCTCTATTTCATAGTGAAAGTGTGAGGAGAATCAAGACACTCCTGTTTTCTTTTTCTTTTTGGTTTGTCTTTAAATAGGAAACAATAATCAAAATGGCTGTCTATTTCTTTGTGGCATTTTTATGCCACAATATGTAGCATCTTCCTGCAAAAACGTTTCGTATCCAGTTGAGTTTGTTGTCCAGGGATCTCCCAAATATTTATACCCCTCCCCTTCTTTTCCCATGATAGTAATAACATTCGACTGGTAACCGTCAGGTTGTGTGTAGGTTTTTAGAGGAGCTACTGAAGAGACGGAGGCTGAGGTGGTTTCTTGCAGATTTAAATAAAAAAAAAAAAAACTTAAAAAAATACAAAATCCAAAGTCCAGAACTCATCAACAAAGAAAACTCAAGAACCAAAAAAGCTTGGAGACACGAGGGAGGAATAAACCTAAAAGATTGACGAGGATCCAGCAAAGAGTAACTGAACAGGAGGTGTATATATGGGAGACACAAACAATAGGAGGACTACTGTAGTTAGCTGATAGGGAGTAAATGTAGACAGAAGTAACTACAAGGAGCTGAGGGAAAGGAGACTGGCACAAGGGGGCAACAGAGAGTGACTAAAAAAACTGTGCTTAAATATAACAAAAAAATGGAAAACACAGAATAACATAAATCAAAGTGTAACTGAGAACTTAAAAAAGATATCTATAACCATCTCCCTCGTTTTATTAACCTTTCCATTTCTATCTATTTAGGATCAGATGATCGTTTTATCACCATGCCAACAGAGGTTAACCAGTTTCTTTTTTCAGCTTCTTTTCCATCTATAAAACAAAGAGTGCAGAGTTAACTGAGACGAGAATAACAGAAAGTCCCTCATGGCATGTTTAGATCAGGCTTTTTTAACTCTTCTCTACAAGGCACACTATGCTGAATGATGTTTTTACGCTTTAGCACACCCGGTTTCAAGTGATGGCTGATTAGAAAGCTTTGATGAACAGTAATTATCAGAATCAGGTGTGCTAAAGCAACCACGTTTTAGATGTGTCTCTGCATCCACCTGAACCAATTGGTGTAATTACCTCTTCAGCATGCAGTCGTGTTCTCTGAATTCCTGCTAATGGCCTGATTGTTTGACTCTGGTGTGTTAAAGAAGCGACATGTCAAAAATCTAAAGGACACTGATCCACAAGGACTTGATATGTAGATTCTGGATCTAAAACATGTGGTGTGCCTTGAATAGCAGGGATGAAAAACATGGGATTAGATTAAGTTATATGCGTTAGAATGGCTCAAAGTTTAGACTGAACGCCAAATGAGAATCTGTGGCAAGACTGACATTCACTGACTATCCATCCTATCTAAGGTATTTTGCAAAGATGAATATGCAAAATTTCAGGCTCTAGATGAGCAAAGTTAGTTAAGACTTATGCCAGGACATGCAGCTGTAATTGCTGTCACGTTTTTAAAGAAATAAGAATCGGTTGCATGGTGGCACAGTTTGTAGCACTCTTTTCATGTGGCAGGAAAGTTCTGGGTTTGAACCCCAACAATTCATCTCTCTGTCATATATTTGTTCTACCCAGCCACTGAACCAGTTGAGTCCAATCTGGTTTAACCTGTGCAGATTGGACTCACCTGGTCACGACAAATACATGACATAGAGATGACTTAGGTGTGAATGTGTTTGTATGCATGGTTCTGTGTCTCTGTGATGGACTATCGAACTGTCCAAGATGTGCCCCACTTTTTGCCCATAGACTACTGGAAACAGGCACCAGTCCCTGCCATCATCAAGGACAAGCAGTAGAAGATTTAATTTCATTTCCACTTCCAATTTTCTGCAAAGTCTTGTGTTAATGTTATGCTGATGCTATTTTTTGGCCCCAATACTGATACCTGGCTATGCAGTATTGGCCGATACAATACCAATACCACCTGTTTGAAATTGATGTGTGTGTATATATGAAGAACTGCATACTACTAGGATGTAAAAAAATTGCCATCATGGCTTTGTCAAGCTGCTGCCTACCTTTGTGAAGCAGGAAAAAGACTAAAACAAAGTGAATCCAATAGAACTTTTTATTGCCTCCCTGGAATGGATGAATAGTTGAATAAACTTTTGGCTCTCAAAATGGTATCGGTGCCCTATTTGTTGGTACTCGCCGATACCGATACCACCATTTTAGTGCTGGATCGGGGCCTTGTCCGATACTGGTATCGGTGTAACACTAGTTAGAATATTATAAAATCTCATTAAACTATATTTTGTGGTTCCAATGTGACAAAATGTAAGGAGGAATGAACCCTTTTTGCAAGACACAGTAAGTATCTCAAGTATTTTTAAGGTTGATCCGTACCTCCCTCTCTGTTTACTATGCTTCTAGTGGTTGCTGCATGCTTTGGATTATCCCTTCTTATGCATATAGAGCATATATTACATGGTTTGTATAATTTTGCCTTTCATCGGTCAGGTTATTGATATCATTCCTGCATGGTTTGCCTCAGCCTGTTTGTTTCCGGGTTACCATGTTAGGACATCAACAGCTGCTTCTCTGTTCCTTAACCAGCAGAACCTTCACTTTTAATACTGCAACCTGATCTTTCAAAGCTTTTTAAAACCGGGTTTCAAATATTGTGAGTGACTGAGTAGCTGATGTGCCATTTGCTTTGTGCAAAAAAGGCCAAATACTTAAACGTCTGCCAAGAGTTTTACTGCTTGTGTCACCTGTTTGGCTGAGATTAGTAATTAGAGGTTTATTTGGAATACATAAAGCAGTCATTCTGTTTTCTTTGACACCAGGTTGCAAAATGCTTATTATACTATGTCATTGTGGTGAATAATTAGTATAACTTTAGTTCAGGGTTAAATCTTGCTCACATTTTTATTTGTCATGGCTTGTAAGGCTCTCATTATGTGCAGAGTAACACTTTGTGGGGGAGGACAATGAGACGCGCAGCAGCAGTGCACCATGGAAACAAGTACTGCCTGAAGACCCAGCTGTCTTCTCGGAAGTAAAAACAACTATGCTAACAGTCAGATTCAGCACTTGCTCCATTTGTCCTGCTTCAACCACAAACTTCAATGTATTTTATCTGACCTTTGTCTGTATATATTTTTAGCCTTTTTTGCATTTAATACCCCTATTAAATGCTGGATAGGACACTTCAGTAGTAAACAGAGTGTAGTTAAGTCTTATTATGGATGCAGCTTTTCTCTGAGGGACTCAAAGGTTTGTTAGAGAACATTAGAGAACACTCAACCTGTTTCCTGAAAATGTCAGGAGTACGAAGCGACAATAAATCTACAATGTTTAAGTGGCTAGTCATATGTTTATTTGTTCGTAATTGAGCCATATTCTGGATTTTAAAAGCGATTCATGAGATGTTTAAATATTTGAATACTCTCTTCTAATCTAATTCTGCTTTAAAGATTTTTATTCAATTTTAATAACAATTTAATAATTTAAATTATTCATTTTCGTTACTTATTTATTTACCATAAAGCCACTGCAATGTCCTTTTGTTATATGTTTATTTTTCTTTTTTTCGTGTACATTATATTGAATTATCTTGTAACTAAAATCTGCTTTAAAATTAAACCCTGCCTTGCCGTAAACTTTTCCACAACTTTATCTTTGACCCGTCTGAGTGTTTCTTGTTCTTTCTAATGTCTTATAATGAGTCTTATAATGCAGGATGAGTTGTTGGGGTATTTCTCACAAACAAACAAAAATTCATCTTGTCCTATATGTCCATTTCAACCATCTGAGAGAAAAATCCGAATCGGGTAGCGCAATCCCATTGCAATACTATGGATTGAGATTGGATATATAGCTGTGATGAAAACAAGAGCTGAACAGCTGAACCAAAATAAACATGGCTGTGCAGGAGGACATACGTGTAGCTGTTGCTGTCAACCATTTTTTTTTTTTTTTACAATTTTATCTTTAAAAGTGAAATAGCAAGACTACAAAAGCATAAGTTTCAGTCTCCCATGGCCTCTGCTGTTATTACATTTATTAATGTGCTATAACCAAGCTTTGGTATATGGGTGCTTGGTGTTGCTGCTACCAATCAGCTCAGAGGGCTCTGCCGAATCTCCCTTTTCCCCCCCTAATAGATTAAAGAGACGTCACAGGTAATAAAGAGCAAAGAAAAACCGTTCTACATATTATCAACCTGGCTTCCCTTAACTTTGACTTTGTGATTTGATTTATTGTTAGTTTTGTCAAGCATAGCGATCTGTTTACCTGTTTTTCAGCATTTTTGGTCTATATAGGTGCCTTTTCAGGGCCTATCCAATTGGGCCAATTGTTGCTACGAAAATAAGCCAGCTTAATGGAAACATGGACACCTCGAAGAATAATTTTTCAACGAGAAGTTTTTGTGCTTGGAAGAGGTGGTTTATGGTGGCATCAAAAATTGGCCATTTTGCACAACTATTGGAAACTACTGCCAAAAAAAGACAAAGCAGTTGGAGGATGACGTGTGACAAACATATTTGTTGATGTGGGATTTAACTTACATTTTTTATTGAATGGAAACATTGCAATTGTTTTTTGTTTTGTTTTTTTACTTTAGCAGAATATGGATTACCTTGTTTCCCTTTCTTGTTTTTGGGTTGAGTTTTGGTTTGCATTACTTACTGGTATGTTTTCACTCATATTCATTTACTGTCACCTTCGATGGAAGTTAAATTCCTTATTATTATCGTGTTTGTGGAGTTTTTCCTCCTTTCAAACTTAGAGTTATGTTGGAGAAATACTTTGGTTTAGTGTGTAGCCCTTTTTACAAACAGCACTGCATTTGGTATTTTATGTTTACAAAAGAGCAGCAGCCTGCAAACATGGCAGCCAATGAGAGGCTTAACGACACTTGAGTTTGCAGCCTGCATTGACAGGTCCCTTTTTTTTGTATGTCTTTCTGATTTCAAACACTAGGTGTCTTCATTACTTATGCTCCTTTACATCCGTGAGCTCTAAAGGTTGTCCTACTGTAGATTGCAATCTTTTCAAAGTGCTAACCTAACACCATTGTGTCTGCTCCTTTAGACATAGATACATTTCTGCTTGTTCCCTGCTTATTTCCTCTTGCTGCACATGCACATTTCCAGTCTTTATGTACCCGCTGAGCTTTAGTTTCATCCATTTATTGTACTTGAGCTCTACTCATCTTGTCAGTGATTGAAGACAGACCATAAACAGAGCTGTCCATGAAGTCTACTGGGCTCCTGCAAGCACATTTATAGTGATAGGCGCTCTCCCTTTGGGAGCAGAACAGCATTTAGGATGGACAGAAAGACTGAGCTCTATACCTTTAAGCACTTAGCTCTCTCTTATGTCTTGCTGGGTTCTGATACTGTTACCTTTCCGCTCTTTCGCATATGGTTCCTGATATGCAACTTGAACTAATCTTTAGTAGGTAAATACATCTATCTTTTGCATTTAGATTGCCTCCTGTCTGTTTGCTTCAGTGTCCTTTTTTCCACATAAAGAACATTTGTTATGCTGCCGTTTGTCCGTTTTAAACATCCAAAACTTCAGAACAGCTGGATTTACGCTGAGATCAACTAACACACATACAGGCTCATTACCATTAGGGTGGTTTCTGAAGGCAACTACTACACAGTTTTTTTTATTATCGGTATTTAATAAAATAAAATGGGTGAATATATACCTTATGTATGCAACAAATTTAAGAATTTTATAATAAAAAACTAAAAAAGCTATTTATTGTCTTTCTGCCATTGCACAACTATGTACTACTTTGTATTGTTCTGTCACAGAAACATAAAGGTTATTCATATGAATATGAATACCTTGGTTAGATATTGAAAGCATGTAACCAAAACTGTAGGGCTCAAATTAGAAACTGCAGAGAAGACTAGGGGGCATGAAAATGGCTGTTAGAAAATTCACACAGACCTCATTAATACCAGGTATGAAACCAGGCTCAGTCTCCTGGAGCCTCTCACTGCAGATTGACCTACATTTTTCTACCAACCTTTTCCCCTTTCTCATCAACCCCTGTCATGTAGTCTCAAGTGCAAACAAAATGTGAGGAGTTCACACAGTAAGAAGAGGGGGGGAAACGCATAGATATAACAACAACAAAGGAGGTGAAAGAGGAAGTGTTATACCTTACTAAAGCGAGGAGAGCAAGAGGAGAACTGTCTGATCTCTACGGGCTCATCATCATTGGTGTCATCCTCATCGTACGTGTTGATGTGGTGGTAACGATCTGAGCGGGCTGGCAGACAGAAGAATGGTGTCAGAAAATAACCTAAACTTCCCATTAATGCAGTTAGTGTTGATTACAGCCACATGAACCCAGGAGACATACTGTCAAAGTAGCTGGTGTCTTCCTCAGACTCCAGGTGGGGGACAAACTCGGCTTTTTGTCTCAACAAACTGTTCCAGTCCAGCGTGGAAAAGAAAGAGTGCTGTTTGACCTCAAAAGCTCCACCTGGTGGCAAAAACAGAAACAACACAATCTGTCTCCCACTCAATTTCACAGCAATGCTTAGATTTGTTGCTTTAAAATATGTATTTTCAAATTTTTTGGTTTAACTTTAGTATGATCAATTTGTATAATGACAGTTTAAGAATATTGATGGTTCTTATTAATTAAAACAGTACATGTATGTGAAGTAT